GATATAGGGATAAATAGAGTTGAAAAGTTCTGATGGAATTTGAGAAAAATTAAGCGATTATCGATTTTGGGATTGTTTAAGAGACTGATCTTCGGTTTAAAGCCGACCGAAAGCAATAGTGCGCAGAAAAAGTTTGAAAAACTTTGTGTGACCACACGATGTCTTACAGTGACTTTGGTATTGGTCTTGCCATTTTACGTGTAAGCTGGCCTTCGGGCCAAATCAGAGACCAGCCCCATCTGCTCTCCCTAAATGAAAGTTAACAGCCCAAAATAATGCCCTCTTCTTGGGGTGTTACAATGTCAGTTTGGGTAGGTAGAAGAATGTGGCTGCAATACTTTGCCTATGTAGCCACCTAATGTCTGGTGTTTACCTTGCTAGTCTCCTGGCCCTTGTACTCGTGGGATAGCCTTTAGGCCAAGCTCAGGCTTAATTTCTATTTTCTCCGTAGAATATATGTACTCAGCTCAACTTAATGCTTTCCATCTGATGGGAGGCCTCAGGACGGTACATTGGCTTTCTCAAACGGGAAAATAGGTGGCAAACAATGAAAAAATCAATTCGTCATTTGGCACTTAGCGCCCCGAGACTTCCCATCGAATAGAAAAAGACACTGAGTGGAGGTGAGTATATGTATCTCAGGAAGAGAAAAGGAATCAGACCCGAGCACAGCCCAAAGACCAGCTCGTGTTTACAAGAGCCAGACGAATAACAAATAACAGTCAGATACTAGGCGGTCACATGCACAAAACACGCTATTCTTAGCCATAATGTGCACAAACGGAGCAGAATTTGGCAAATTAAAACCACAAATTTAGAGCATAGGGATTGCAATACAAAGATTTTCGTAATTTTAAATAACCAACTTAGAGTAGCTGGTTAATATATCTAATATCATTAAGGCTGCGTTTACATATTTTGGATGACATGTAAGTTGCCCTACTACTGAAATTTATTGCAAGCTATTGACCATATTTGCAATATTTCAAGTAGCAATTCTTTAAAATTACCATTTTTACACAAATTCCTTTATTTAAGTAACTTTCCTGTGAGCTTCTTTTCAATTGGTTAACTTAAGTTATCATTTCAGCATATTTTAACCTGGTGTTTCGCTGCCCATGTGGAGACTTTACGTCGATCCCTGTAATCGCAGAGGTTTGGCTGCTTTAGCGGCAGCATACAAGACCAACAAGGCCGAAATATTAAAATATGGGGCAGAACACGGTAGTTTCTGTCCATAAGTAATTTTTGCTCCAGTTTCTGATGGGGTTGTGCTTGAAACGGATTCAGGGTTGATAAGTTCAGCCAACGCAATTGTAAGGTACTGTTAGGCAATTTTAATTCACATATAGCCTTCAGCTTCATTCTGGGTGCTGATGTATTGTCCCCAAAACTCAGTGCCTTCCTCCTTTGGGAGTCGACTGTCTTGACGGTACCTCAACTAATTACTATTCTTACGTCAATTAGCCTTCTTTGAATCGCATTGGGGGCAGCATTACCGGAGAGGTTACAGACTTGTTGAGTGAGCTTCAGTGGAAACTTCAAAGTCTTGAGGAGGAAACCAGTGAGTTAGGCAGGTTGGCAGCTAATTTAATAGTCTGGGCGGATGTTTCGCACTTGTCCTCCAGCATTGGTAAGCTTTGAACTTCGAAGTATTGGTACCTTTTAGCAACGCTTGGTTGCTTGGGACACATATATAACGTAGTGAGGAGCTGTGATGTCGAGAAGCATTGTTTACATGCTCTTCAAGACATACCGTTGAAAGTTCAAGCTCAAGAGGCAGATGTAAAGTCACAGGTACTTCTTGTGGTTTTTGTAGGTACAGGTGTCCATGCTGCTATTTAGTATCAATTTTCTCATTATAGTCATCTACTTCGGCACAAAACATGTCGCAACGTAAACAGAGTCAAAATAAGGTTACAAAAACTAATGAAAATTTGGCACACAATGACGAAGACGAACTACGATGTCTACAGGTTGAGGTTTCAACTGATCAGATGCTCAAAGCTCAGTGGGCTTTCTGTTCGTCTGCTCCGCCCGCTACGTTTATCCATTCAAATGAAGGACCAATGTGCGTCGTTATGATTACCGTCTTTTTTCGTTCCTTTCGTTGCTCCAGTAATCGTCGGTTTCTTTTTAGCTTGCCACTGAAAAAGGGTAAGGGTGTTCGAAATATCCTAGTTTCCTCCGCTCTGCCCTACGTTAACAATGTACCGCATTTGGGAAATTTGATTGGTTCCTTACTTAGCGCAAACATTTTTGCGCTCTACTGCCAGACTGCAGGCTACAATGTACTATCCATTTGCGGCACGGACGAATATGGAACTGCCACCGAAGCTAGAGCCCATTCCGAGGGTTTGACCCCTCAGGAAATAACCGATAAGTACCACAAGCTACACTGCCAAGTTTACGACTGGTTTGACATCCATTTCGACTATTTTGGAAGGACTTCGACACCTATTCACACTGAGTATGCATTTCTTCAGTCATACTATCACATTCATAATTTTCGCCTCGAGAATGTATACCTCTCTTTGTAGAATCACGCAGGAAATATTCCTGGACCTCTATAACAATGGTTTCATCACAGAGGCATCCGTAGAACAACTGTTCTGCGAGAAATGTAACAGATTTCTAGCTGATAGATTTGTTGAGGGTGTGTGCCCCCTTTGCAAGGCGGAGGGTGCGAGAGGTGACCAATGCGACACCTGCAGTAAGCTTATAAATGCTGTCGAGTTGATCAAACCCCAATGCATCGCTTGCCGCGGTTCACCTACGGTTCGCTCCTCCGACCACCTCTTTCTTGATCTTCCTAAGGTATTTCCTGGTTTACGATAGCTTGTTCAACTTCACTATGCGGTATTCATGACCTTGTTTCTACTTACACGACTGGGATTTCATTACTATAGTTCTATTTAGACAGATTAACGATGTTCATCTTATTTTGATTTGACTATCTTTCAACCTAGATAGTTGGTCTTATTTGTGCTGGGGATTGGTGTTCGAAGAAGTGGTACATTGACGATGTTCTTATGAGGTTCGGTTTGGAGATGTTCTGGCTTTCTCTCGCTTATCATCTCATTGAGCATTGTCACCTCGCTACGGCTGACGCATTATTTCACTTTTTTAAATGCTAACAAAGTATCCATGGTTCATTATGCTTATATGATTTTATTAAACATACTTCTCGAAAGAGGACTATCTTTGTCAGCCATTCTTACCTTTGTATTGTTCGAATAATGATAGCATTGGATACGGGTGATTGTTATCACTGCTTTAGGGTATAGACCATGACCTCATTTTCATGCCACTAGTCAGCCCGTCTGCATCTCAATAGGTGACCTCAAAACGTCGTTCTTTTTGACGAACCAATGATATGCCTTTCATCTACTTCCGTCCATTGATAAAAGCGTTTTAGTGTCTAAAAGGCAAGGCAGTTGGATCCATTGAATTTTGAAACCGTTTTGGTCACTCCGTAGGGCACTCGAGAAGACCACTGCTAGCACAGCACGCAGACTATTGCTGAAGCCCCAGCCAATAGCCTAATAATCTGGGCCTCACCCCACCACTTTATAAATTAAATCATGGGGCACCGTAGAAGGTCTACGTGATCAAACATGCAATCATGATCTGTGTAATTACGCCTTTTTAGTTGGAGGAGAAAGTTGATGTCTTCTTCACTAAGAGTTTGGAGGATCCAAACTGCAAGTGGACCCAAGTCGCTCAGTCTATCGCTCGTACTTGGCTTCGCGATGGCCTCAAGAAGCGCTGTATCACTCGTGATCTCAAATGGGGCGTACCAGTACCTCTGCCCGATTTCAAAAACAAGGTCTATTCTTATTTGAGTTAGGAATAAGTTTCGTTACCTAAGTTCAAGTTTGTGTGTTCTTTCAAACTCATGAACAGGCTTACTAACCCTACAATTACAGATCACCATTACAATCTTAGAGGCATTCCGACCAGCGATACTAATTCGACATTTCACATCAATGACATCTTTGATGATACCAGGTTCCTGTTGATCGTTATTTTTTTTTTATTTTAACCATTTCTTTTCCCTTTAACAATGAGTTCTTAAGTCTCGTTGCTACAAGGCTCTGTTTGTGAACACTTCCATTGCGGTTAATCCAGCTCAGATCGTATGAATCCACACCTCTCATTGACACTTCAAACTTAAGCTTGAATCCAGTACCTTTAGAATAGTGTAATTCTATTCGTTTCGACAGGTTTTCTACGTTTGGTTTGATGCCCCAATCGGGTACATCTCAATAACTGCGAACTACACGAAGGAATGGCGTCAATGGTGGCTGCAGTTGGAGGATGTAGAGCCGGTGGAGTATTTCCAATTCATGGCCAAGGACAACGTTCTCTTTCATTCCGCTATCTTTCCCGCCTGCCTTCTGGGCAGCAACAAGAAGTTTACTCTAGTAAAGCACATCATTGCCACAGGTCAGTTGTTTCTTATTGGGAATTTTCACTAAGTTAAACAGCTTCATTTATGCACTGTGCATTGCTATTGATGTCCTTTTCGTTAGTTAAACATCAGTCATTTATCCAACTGTATTATGCAGCAGAAATTCTCATTCGTTCCAGAATATCTTAACTATGAGGGAAAGAAGTTCTCCAAGAGTCGAGGAGTCGGTGTGTTCGGTAATAACGCCAAAGACAGCGGTATTGAGTCCAACATCTGGCGTTTCTATCTAGCCTACATCCGTCCTGAAACCCAGGTTGTTGCTTGCATTTTCCACTCTCGATTGCTCAGCACCCTAGTTGGGATTTATTCGTGGTTTTTTTCGTCTACAGGATAGCACCTTCTCTTGGGAGGATTTTGCTCTCAAAAACAACGGCGAATTGCTTAACAACCTTGGCAACTTTATCAACAGGCAAGTCGACTTTCTTTTCAGCCCCCAACTTTCCTTTTGTCTAGACCCCTTATGTTTGTGATGAAGTTCTTTAATTCCACCGTACCGGGCATGAAAAATCTCCAACCTGACGATGTGACCTTCCTGGCTCGGGTAAACGGCATTCTACATGCGTACATCAACCATATGGAAAATTGTTCTTTACGTGAGGGCATTCGCGCTGTTCTCGGTATCTCCCGTCTCGGCAATGGTTACCTGCAGGCTCAGAAACCCTGGGTCCTCTATAAATCCTCCGACACCATGTCAGAATCCTTTTTCTTAATCTATATGACCTGGGGCTGCAAATGTAGAGCTTTTGTCACGGTTGGGTCTGTCTGCGTTTGCCTTGCAGTCAGCGAGCTGGTGTGGTGACAGGAGTGAGCTGTAACATTGCTGCGCTGTTAGGCATCCTCCTACGTCCCTTCATGCCCACCTTCGCGGATGAGATCTTTGAACAATGTAAACTGCCCTCCGAGCATCGCAGTCTTGCGCCCATGGTCGCCAATGGCGGTCACATAATATGCCTCCTGCCTGAGGGACATGTTATTGGCGAGGTTGGTTTCTGCTGCTCAGTATATATCTTAGCTCTCAAAGTTATCCTGAAGTGTCAGTAAACTAGGACCACAGCCGAAACGACCCTCATTGATAGGGTGGTGCGAGACTTGAAAGTTTTGACTTATAGGTTAATGCATAGCAAAGCTTAGCTCTCATCACCTGTATAGGGGATCTACAATACCATTATTTAGTGTGCTTGAAAGCTAGATTGATCCTTTTGTTATAAACCGAGTCGTTTGAATCTTGTTGTGGTTCTCAGTCAGAGAAGTCCCTTCAATGACTGACATAAGGAGTACGTGAGGTTGTTGCGCATATACTCTGTGACTGCTGGTAAATGAATCTATCTCTGAGTTTCGTTTTACTGCTTTCAATTACTCATGTTAGAGAACCACTGTCCTCGAAGTGGTTACCAGCAGAGAATGCTTTTGCCCTATGTAGAGAATTCAGGGTGAATGGAACAAGAGCATGGCTTGGTGAAATTTCTTAGAGATCAGCTGAGTACTAGATAAGAGCGTGACTTTCTGGTTGTTGACATCTGCAGCACTTTTTGACTCAGAAGTTATCATGCTGTCTGGATCATTGGGTTTATGTTGATTAACCACAGTAAGGCTAGCTATTCTGCGACACCTGTCTGTTATGAGGCTTTATGAGTTTACTTGCAGCGACTAGTGAATAATTTGCTGATGGGAAGGTGCACTACATGATATCCAATTTGTTCGTTTTAGCCGAAGCCTTTGTTCAAGAAGATTGAGGCTAACGACGTCCAACGCTTACAAAAGATGTATGACTCGACATCTTGACAAATATCAATGGCATCAATCCTGTAATTTTGTTCCGAAGCTTCGCTGTGGATGCTTTCGTGTTTTCCTTGATTGCTCACAGCTTGACACGGGCTAAGGTTTAGCTGAGTTTGGGTAGGCCATGCTGTGTGTGAGCTGCCGGTGTTTCATCGGTAGCTCTGGCGACGGGTCGAATTGGCAGTTCAGCTCTGGAGGATTGGTGACCGAGACACTCCTCCCGAACGCAGTGGCTCTGGAATTGTACAGCGGTGTACGGGGTGGGGGCGCCGTCGTGTCTAGAACATAGTGGTTGCAATCGGGAATGAACTCTTTCCGAATCATGTAAATGGGTGGATGCGTACTAGTTGGTCAGATTCCCATAAGCTGATTTCGCACTTGATTTTGAATGTGCTCATAATCTAGGCTGTAGCTAGCAGAATAATTTAATATGAGTGGGGGGTCACGCATACTTCATTCATTTTGTTAGTATGATTTACATAAAAATAAAAGTGATCAATTGATCTTTAAGCAACCACCATAAAAGGGCCTTGCCTATCGTGAAAGAACTATGCATAGAGGTGGTTTGCGCGGAAACGGATTATGTATCTATCTATTGACAGAAATAAGGTTCTGAAGGCATTGTACTTACGTGATGAAGTTATAATCAATCCTATTTTTAAGGAAGCGAGATTAGGGTTTGTGGTTTTATTCATTTAATTTCAGAAAGTTAAAAAAACTTAAGAAGTACCTGGAAGACTCCCCTGAATTATTGTCAATTACTGACGCATTCAAGGACACTCTACTCCATCATGCAGCTTATGGAGATGCCTTTAAAACGGCTGCTTATCTTGACAGCTCGAACAGCAGACTTAATTCGCTAAATGCCATTGGTCAATGCCCATTTATGACTTCATGTCTATCGGGTAGTTTCGAGACCGCAGCCCTTTTACTGTGCCGTTTCGAGGACATAAATCAAGTTGACAAAACAAAGTTATCTGCGGTCCATCTCGGTATGTATATATAAATTTCTTCATGAACATGCTGATGTTTCAGTAAGAAAAGGATCGACGGTCCTTTTACTCCAAGGATCTTTGTGAAACCCTAATGGC